TTGTTGAGTAAGGATAACTTGCCGCTTAATCTTGTGCCTGATTATCCTAAAGGAAGAGGATAAGTCAGCTTAAGTTGATTAAGGGAAGTTAAAGACTCCATAACGCAAAGAAGCCCGCCACGTGACTTAGGTCCGGAACAATAACCAAAGTCTTATACCTCCGCTCGACAAATCTAAACGCCTCTCTCGATAGGTTGTTGAGTTACGTGACACGAAGATCACACAATTCGAGCGACTGACTCGCCGTTTCCAAGTGTGACAATATACACAAACCTAAATTCGTTTACCGATAATGAAATTCAATAAGTTTCACTAAATTAAAAGTAAATATTTGAATAACACACTTACTTCTTTTACACCCACTGACGCCAAAACTCCGATTTCCCCACCTACGGCCGATAAAAGTTCACCTTTTCGTGCAACAATAGCCCCGAAGCTAGTATCGGAACCAATTTCTCTAATGTTATCACCATCATTAACTCGAACATGAATTTCTACTGATTCCTCTTGAAGACCATCCGCAGATGCGCGTATTAGAGTCGTATCTTCAACCATTACTACTGCTGTGGCACCAGAAGGCACAGGTGCTCCTGTTGTGATCCGAGCAATTTGACCAGGTTGTAATTTATCAGTTGATAAATGAGAAGTGTTTGCAATAGACACTCCAATTACAGGATAAACTCCAGGACCATCGCTCGCTATGAAATCAAAAAAAAAAGTCATATAAGGTATAAATAAAATTCTACAAAGTTAAATTTTTAGATATCAAACCGACAACCGCATATCCGTCGAGTATGGAAGCACGATATCCTGGTACCGGTTGACGTGCGACTACATCTTCGGCTAAAACCATCCCTATTAAATTTTTGTCAACTGGGACATTAACAGGTGGCAATATATTACTATGTTCTGCGACTATATTCAATGCTTCAGCTACATTAATCATTGGATATGGTGATTTACGTTGACGCTGAGAGACTAATATAAAATATATTATATTATATTTCGCGAAGCCATTAATAAAATCAATATATATGCATTATTTATTACCAGGGCCAAAGAGAGAATTCGATTTATACTGATGCGCATCATCATGCTTATGCTCATGATGAACACATTCATGACTCCCAACACGTAATTGCGCATGAACATTTTCACCAGTTTCACCTCTAACCAAATCAATTGCATGTGGTAGAACACTCAATATAGCTTGTACATTTTCTTTTGCCCCTTTAGGACTTCCAGGAATGAGAACATTCGTTCAGTATTAATACTAGCTATGGATGACATTCCTTGAAAGATTGTTGCACGCACTGACACAAAATCAGAGATAGTTGTACATTCTGTGCCATTCCAAACCTTTTCATTACTACTTATGATAATATCAGGATTTAGTAACTCAATGCAATTGAGGGCATTACTACAGACATCTTCATGAGTTATGTTATATATTTTTTCTGAATTAAATTTGGTTCGAGAATTGAATGGCTCATTTAGAAAGCTTATATCATTGTCATTCGGGACAGTTTCATGCTTACTTAACGCTTCTGTATCAATTGGATCAATATTTAATGTTTTATTTAATTCTATAAAAGATTCATCATCTTTATAAGATTTTTCACGATTATCAAATACCTTTGTATTATTTATATTAGCTTCTATTAGCTTGTTTGAATATAATTCCTTATTATTATCAGAAATAAATTCATTTATAGACGATTTTTGATTAATATAATTAATGGATTTGCTAGTATAAATCGTACTATCATCCATATTATTCAAGACATTTCCATCAATGATGTCGAAATTTTTTTCTCCATTTTCTAACAACAATTTAATAATTTGAATGTCCTCTTTTCCTGCAGTATGAAGTAGTCTTAAATTAATATCAGTTTCTTTTTCTAATAGTAATTTAACAACATTTACATAATTTTTTCTCGCAGCAAAATAAATATGATTAAAATCTTTTTCATTAAAATCTTTGTCAGCACTAGCCTCTGCTTTTAGTAAATATTTGACAGCCTCCACGTACTTTTTCTCTGCAGCCAAATCTAATGCTGTTTTACCATCCTTATCTGTAGTATTATTTGCTTTGTAAAAAAAAAAAAAAAAAAGTAATATAATTTCGATATTCATGATTAAAAGTCAAGTAATTTTTGTACCACTTCGTTTGTCTTAACGAAAACGATTACAGT